ATATACACACACACACACACGCACACACACACACACTTACATGCACATAGTCATACTTGTGACACTGAGGCACTACGGTTAAAGCCTTGTTGCATACGTTGGCGGCTGAATTCATCACATGATGTGGTTTCAGATGCTAAGCTAGAAAATAGAGAGAAAATAATTTAAGRCAGATTCGAGAGTTGCTGAGTGGGAGCAGATTAACTTATCAGTCGGTGGTCTGATTTCACAAGGGAGTGTGGCTCGGTTGCACAAAATTTCATCAAGTTGTTCAGACCGCATGGGTCTCAGCTGGACTGTTCCTTCAAAGGGATCAAGAAACGTCAAAAACCAAATGATAGTGTACAGACCTGGATGGCTTTGTTTGTGACCTTTTGTTAAAGATTGAAAAAACACACAAAGGTCAATGAAAGACTTGAATCTGTCATTTCTTTTAAGTTTTGGTTCAGTTGCTTTATGAAAACAAAGAACTGTTGAAACTGGCCTTCGTAAAAAGATTGTTCCCCTTTAAAAAAAGTAAAATAGTTGGAGYGTAGAGATGTTAAACTAAGGTATATCCTGTAATCAGCATCACTTTTGTCTTCAAGCTCTTAAATCAGTCTGTCTGAATTTAGGGTGAGACGTAGTCACAGGGTTGTTTGGGATCATGGCGTGTAACTTCACTGAACATGGACCACAAAAAGCCAAAGAGAGAGTTGTCTCTGAAGATTAGAAAGAAAATAGTTGGCAAGCTGGTATAGGAAAATGCTTTAAGACCATGTCCAAGCAGCTTGATGATCCACAGTTTGTTCAAGTTTAAGTTCTGTTGAAGGACTGTAGCCAAGCTCCCTGGATGTGGCCCCAGGAGGAAAACGGATAAAATAAAGAGAAGGAAACTACAAAACAACCAAAGGGATTAGAATTAAACTTCAAGTCAAAGTACATCAGTGTCAGACCGTACCATCAGTTTGAAACAAAGTGGACTTAACAGAAKATGACTGAAAAGGCAACAAAAGTAAAGATGGGAAATTCTCAAAATGTATATTAACACAAGGTTTCTTAGACAGATGAGACAAAACTGGATCTTTTTGGCAACAATTCCCACCAGGTCTACGTGCAAAGACACAAAAATAAAACGATCTCCGCGACATGGAGAAGTTTGCTATTAATGACTGGGCCAACATACAGGTGCAGAAATCAAGGTGATTGAGTCAAAAGATTGTCTTTTTTTTCCACAGCCAGTTTCATCAGTTTTGTTTCACAAAATTTAAATAATGATTTCTGTCAGTCTTTAGCAAAAGAGTACAAGCAAATATATCTGTGTGGGAATGGGAAGTTTTTACAGTGAACTTTAAGTGACATATTTGTATATTTTTAAACGATGGTTTGCATATAAAGTTTATTAAAATCCTCAAAAAACAGTTCATTTTCTCAGTCGTTCACTGTGAGCCACTAGAAGTGTGTGGTTGTGTTTCCTTCAGGGTATTTTACTGTTAGAAGTCATTTTGTTTTTATTCAGAATTTTTTTAAGATGCATTTTTAGAGCAGAGCAGAAAACAGCTGAGTGGATTAAAAGATCAGAAGTATGAGTTTTTACCTCTGCTTTACACTTAACCTTAATAAAACAATATATGATCGTCTTTTTTTTGTTTGTTTTTCGTTTTGTTTTTTGTACCTGACTGACCACAGAGATTTTTACAGCTCTGAAACTTTTCACATTTATTTTAGTGCCAGAAAATGCTACACAAAACAAGAATGGTATCAAAGTTCAGAGGCAAAGGTTATTTCTTGAAAACCTTTAGTGTAAAATGAGAATACAAACATTTAAACCGTAGTTAGAAAAAGAAACATGTCATGGTTTATTATTTAGAGGTTGTGTGGATCTTGAATTAACTCATGAGGCAAATCTGCTTCCTGGTATTATTTTTTTAAGTACTGTTATTTTTAAATTAATCAAAYTGTACATCAAACAGTGGGACCCTCCAATAAAGATTCTTATCAGTCTCATTTATTGACACGAGTGGTTTAAATATTAATTTACSTGGAAGAAATCAGGCTGATGGAGGAGTTGAGGTAAAACTTTCTACATTTTAGTAGTTAATTTTGAAATTTATTCTTGTTTTTAAAGTTTATTCAAAATGATTGACCAGTTTTCTCCATCCAGGACTGGCACTTACACACTTACTGTTGAAACT